GTTGGACTGCTTTTTTACGTCCTGAAGGAATTCCAGAATTCCCATGTTCCTCAATGATGATAAAGAAAATATGATTTTTGTACTAAATTCTTTTTCTTGAAGCCCATTAAGGGACACAGGTCCTGCCTTGCTTTGTTTATTGATGTTTTGTACTGCTTGTTCACAAAACTGAGGCATGATGATTAAAGTCAGGGTTATGTGGGGGCTGACCTTCAACAGTTTTTTTTCTGTTTGCCAGTGTCCAAACCTCCATTTTAAATGTGATCTTTAAGGCAATAGCTTACACTGACTGCTTGCCATGTAACAGCTTGGTTCAATTTTTCCTGATCTGTTATTATTGTACCAGCTGGAAATAAGACTTTAAGCACTAGAATCACCACTTGTCAACATAGTGTATTCTGCTGTTGACTAACATCACTAGGTGTAAGGAAACCATTCAAGAAAAACCAAACCTTGTATTACACTCAGCCTTGTAAATATGTGTGTTTTGGTCATTCGTAAATATCTGTCTGGCTGTATATAATATCCAAAGAGGAATGTCAAGACTGTTTACTTCTCAGTGGAGGATACTTATAAGACTTAGACGTTTTGTATGTTAATAAGAACCTCAATCTATCCCTCAGTTTGTCCCTCTAGTTTCACTTTCAACTGCTCAGAGTAGCTTGCAGTCTAGGCAAAGGTTTTCACCAAAGAAACATCTAAAAAAAAGTTAGAAATATTTTGTAAAAATTATTTAGGTATGCCGAGTTAATGGGAACACAAACATATATAGGGGATTTCTCAAATTTGACTGCAAAATGAATATTGCACTTTAAAACAAACTTTAAACTACAAGTTTGAAACATGTAGGCTGCCACACCTCTTCTGACTAAAAATGCTAGTTGCCTACTATAAAAGGGGTTCCAAACTCTCGGGTTTTTTGCCTATATCTACTGCTAGCAAACAGTAGATATAGGCAAAAAGTTTTTTTTTTTTAAACCTGCTTTCACTGCTTTTCGTCGCGTGAAAAGCATCTTGGGGCGGGCGCATGCGCAGTTCGGATTCTCGGCCCGGAGACGAGCAGAGACGCAAGGTAAGTCTATGGACGCGTGCACCCGCATGCAGACACCGTGGGATCAGAAGTGCCAGCAAGCAGAGAGGAGTCAGCTCTGGATCGGAGAGCTGCCGCACCGCTGGAGGGACAGATGAAAACATCAGGAAAGAAGAGGAAGATCGGATTAAGAGACATCATTTAAGGTAAGTGCTAACATTAACATTGGGGGGAGGGGAAACATTTTTTGATTTTAATGTCACTTTAAATATGTTTACCCACTGACCTGGCACAAGTATGAAGAGCAGAAAAAGACTTCTAACTTTCCTATAATGCATGCTGGCCCCTTATGTATGGGTCCTTATACCAGCCAGGAAACTAGCATTTTTTAAAGAGATTGGCAATGGCAGCCCCCATTGGTGAAAAATAAAGACTGTGGCCCTCATGGAGGTGTCCCCATTGTTTCATAACGACGCACCTGGGATCACTGTAACAGCTGGATCTGCTGAAAAGGGTTAAAGATAGGCATGTCCCACTTTTTTACCATGTGGAGCTTTGGCATGCAGAACTCAGCTGATCAAAACAAATATTTATATGGCTTTCTATGACAAATGTAATGAGAGCCAATATTCTCACAACACAAGAGGCTGACAAAAATCAATTAGTGGCAGTAATTTTTTTCCTGTTTCATCATTGTTCTATTTTGTGAGTGCAGATATAGGCCAGCACCTGTGGGGAATACAAGATGTACAGAACATGCCCCAAAGAGCAACAAAGCCAAAACATATACAATTTGTCCTATTAATGGCATAATTTAGGTTGTTTGTAAGTATAATGTCAAATGATAGAGACCAAGTAACCACCCATGCATAATACTCCAGCTGCTCTGTTTCCTGAAGCTAGAATTGAAGAGTCTGTTCTTTCATCTAACTTCTGGATTCCTCTGTGGATCTGCTGAGTCAGATCTGTAGAGCAACATATGCAATGCAAATATGTGTAACACACAGGAAGACTACGGTAACATCTTTGCATGAGGGAAATGCATTTGCTAATGGGAGATATTTTGTGGAACACGAGAATCCTTGAACTTTGTATACGATTAAGCATGACACACAGTCACAGTGTCAAACCTATTTTAATAGGAATCAATGTGAATGTTCTATTCACAGCCAGCAGATTTTTGTTGAGCAACTTAGAAATTCTTACAAAAATATTTAGCATGGCAAAGAGCAATATCAATTGTGACTAAGGTGTTAATAATCCTGTAGCTCTGGATTCATGGCCTCCAGGAACTTTATCTCCATGGAGTTTGGTTGTAGAATCAACTTACTAAACTGTATTATGAAATAATACAATAATAAATAGTAAAGATTATGTTTTGACATTCATATTTACTTGTGTCTTTTATCGCTCTGTTGGATAATCATCTATACTTAAAGCACACACGGAATAATAAGATTAAAACCAAAAACCTATGTCATTGTAAAACAGGAAGAAATCATGTTTTTGAATCTTATATTTTGTATACATTGAGTGTTTGTGTCATGTTGGCACAATTATCCCCTCCAGGTGTACTTCCGTAGAGGGCCAGGAATTTATAGAGTATCCACAAGCAATTGTGACATTGTAAACCTTCTCAATTATCTAGTCCACCTGCATGCTTTAGAAAGCTCAGTACCTACAACTGATGGAGAACAAATTATACTGCGTAACCTTTTCCATGGAGTACATGGCATGAAGGAAGTCTGGGATACAAAAGGCCGGAAACTGGGTGACTAAGCACATAGGATATTATTCAGGTCTAAAAACAAGCATAGTTTGTGAGAAGTGAGCTTACATGAACCCTTATACTTAAATTCAGTATCACTTACTGTGATCTTCATGAATAGGTCAATAGGAAATACAAGTGTTTGATATTTGTACAATGAGCCTATTCATTAAGGGTCCAGCTCAGTTACTTCAGACAGATGTGATGACATAATGATTTGGAGTGAATGGAATAAGGGGTTTAGTGTGCTTTACAGATATATAAAATTAAATTCAGACACATCTGTCAAAAGACAGTTCATGTCATGCTTCTGCTCTGATGCTGATTTACCAACTGTACACAAATGATTCAGATGCTACAACTACGAAATGATTTGCACAACGTTTTTCAGAAAGAGTCTACAGCGTAGTTTTCTGGAAGGTGAACCAAGATGTGTATTAACTCTCATTGAAGATGACAGCTTTCACCATAAGATGCACTAGAACATATATAGACGTATTTAATGTGTCAGCACATAGATCTATACTGAATGTAATGTACAGTTTATGTTCACATTGATCTGAATTTAGAAATATACTTCAAGGAGCAGCTGATTAACTAAGCTGGTCTTATTTTACCCTAATACAAAGACATTCACGTCTTACATTGGCATAAGAGCAGAATACATCTTCTGTGTTAATGTGGGACTTACAGGAAAATAGCTTAAAGCTGGCCATACACCTGTCAATTTTTTTTGCGTTCAGCCCACAGGCTGAACAAAACAAATTGACACAATTCCTCCATCAACACAAACAGCGTGGAATCGCCGCTGTTTGCATTGTATTCTGACTGGTGTTCCTGTCGGAATACCCTATCAGAGCAGGCAGCTCAGTAGTTGCCGGCTCTGATCACATGAAGATTTTCGAGCAGGCTCCTTCAATCAGCTGATTGAGGAATGCCAGCTGAAAGGGAGCCGACAGCCACACACACTGTGCGAATTTCAGCCAGTACATTAAAAAACGGGCAAAATTCTGCCAGTGTATGGGCACCTTAAGAGTGTCCTCTTCAGCAGCATTACCATCTGCAAAAAAAAAAAAATTGGCCTTCCATAGTCAAAAGCAAATAGAAGAGAGGCACTTACATATGCCAGTTGCATCTTTCATCCGAAGGATATCTGAACAATAATTATCAAACATGAAATGCAGTCCACAAAAATGCTAATTGTTTCAGGTACACTCTCAGGGTTAGTTCACACCATAAGCAGTGCGTTCCGGTCCGATTCTGGCCGGAACGCACTGCCTCGCATTGCGGTCGGCTCATTTTTTGCCAGGCTGGAGGGGGCGTGACGGGCCATTGAAGTGAATGGCACCGTAGCCACGCCCTCCGGCCGCAAAGCGATCGCCCGCACGGGATAGCAAGGTACATTGTGCCTGCAGTGCGTTCGGGTGCGATGCGATCAAAATGCTGCAAGCACTAACCCTCAAATAAACCTTCTTTGTAGAAAATTTGCACAAGTACCTTAAAAAAAAGGAAATTTCATAATGTGTATGTAAACCCTCACAATGAACTTCTCTTATCTGCTCCCTTTTGGCCTGTTAAATGTATCACGGGAAGCACTTTGTTTGATAAGTGCAAAAAGTCTGATCGAGGAATGCTGGCTGAAAGGGAGCCGACAGCCCCACACACTGTGCAAATTTCAGCTGGTACATTAAAAACCGGCCAGTCAGACTTGTGTAAATGGCAAAATTGCTTCTACAGAATTTCATATCTTGTTGTAGGAATAACAGTAAACAAATATGTATTTAACCCCTTCATGACTGAGCTAGTTTTCAGGTTCTTAATGCCTCAATACTGAGACATTAATGAATGGCTGTTAAATGCTGAGAATCAGCAAATACCGGCATTACAAAGCCTGATATAACTCGTCACGTACAGTGTACGTGGCCAGTCATATAGGCACAAAGTGACAAGACGTACACTGTACGTCTCCCGTCACGAAGGGGTTAAATAGCATATATAACTGTGTGCTAAGTAAAAGTAAAGTCAAACGTTTATGTTTCTGTAGAAATGCATTCGGTATCTTGCACTTTACCATTACATTTTTGTCATATCATAAGATGTCATGGTGACCCCTAGTTGTTGTGTTTATACTAAAGAGAATTATTCTGTGGAGTGCAATAGCCAGGCTGGTAACCCCATGTTCCTTTGTACCTCTTTGAGCAGAATGTGACAAGCTCCGAAGGGATGGCTATCGTAGCTCCCAGTACTATTCCCAAGGACCAACATTCTCCTCCTCTCCAAACATGGTTTGCACAAGCTATCCAGAAGATGATGAAGAATACAGTCGGAAGGTATATCTATCAATGTTTTATTATACCATTTCTCCAAAATCCAAATGTTCCGTGAAACATACATATTTCTGGGTAATTTCACTGGCAATGTTATATCCATAATTAGCACAGAGAACTAGGCATGGCTGAATACTCATTTAAAGGAGATTATTATTATTATTATTGTGTTAAATAATGAAATACAATGCATATACACTGCAGTAATGCAATGGGCAACTATACTTAATAGTTTTGTTTGCAGTCTAATTAAGCAGGGTTGTTCCGGAAATAAGAATTCCATGAACCCTGCTCTTGTGACATTCTGTAACTGTGGGCACACACCAACACAGCACATGGATTACAAAAAGAGGGGTCCATAGGATTATAAAACATTTAAAAATACAGCATTACCCTTTATCCAAAACTGTAGAATTGACTGAAGTGCCATTTGTGAATTATACAGATCCCTGATGTTGAAGTGGATAAATAGGGTTACTTGATTGTCATTAAATAATTCTTTGAAGTGCTTTCATGAGGCACATCTGAATTATTGGAACACCTGCATTGTGTGTGCAGCCTTTTCTAGAACTTCATTTTACCAAGCTGTGTAGCTGATGGATGAGGGCTGGGGGAGGGTGTGATGATTTGGGTAGGAAATGGAACAGGCAGACAAGCTTATGGAAAGCATTTTAAATCCTGAGAGGTGCCTTTGCCGTGTTATTTTCTCTGTTTTTCCGTCTGTCATCTTGCAGCTTTCAGTTCCTGACTGGTGACAGATGGGATTGTTAAGCATTGTACATAGTTATCTCGGTTACTAAAGCTTCATTTGTGGCAGGATTTACTCCATTAGGTAAATTAACCTTAGGTAGCATGCGCAGGTTGTCTTTTTTTGTTTCTGGTTATTGATTTGTAACTACACTCTGCCTATGGTGAGTAGGCTCTAAGTAAGACAACTCCTGCATGCCATAAAATAATACTAAAAAAATAACAAACAGTAGTAGATGCTTTCTAAAGTAGCACCCTGATCAGAGCCAGATCATCCACAAGGCAATCTGAACAAGAACCTAGCGTCCGGTGGATGTCCATGGGGCCCAGCTACAATCTTCATACTGCTGGAGTAACCAGAGCCAGAGAATAATTGGTCAAAGCTGTGCACCTGCCTGTCAATTCACAAGGGAGAAATGTTTTTGCAGGCAGTAGTGTGTGCTGCAGCACACCATAGCAGTATAGAAAAGGCAAAGTGGATGGCTTCTTTGTGCCTAGTGCAATCCTTATTACTGTAATTGGAAAGGGATGGGGGCCCCATTTTGCTTAAATTAATATCTGACCATGATCAGTTATCCTATAGCCAATATGAAGAGTATTTTGGTATTCACACACTGAACATCTAATGCTTAGCTTAGTTCATATACTCTTGTCTGTGGCATTCTTTTACATTCTTTCTCTTCTCTACACAGTCAAATGTGTTAGGATGCATCTGTCAATCTTGCCATAGTGTATGCTGTTGCTTGGTGCCCTGGAACAGTAAGGTACAGAGGCAGTAGTTTAGACACACCTAGGCAGATGGGTTCAAGAGCTGTAGAATTAGCAAATCGATGTTTTTATCTTTCTTATAATCTACCCTCAAAATTAAACTGACATAAGGGGCCACTAATCCTAAAATAAATACGACATTGGTCTAAATATTACTAAATATAGTTCCAGTGTATTGCATGGGTTATAAATGAGTGGGATATGCCCTCACCTTTAACATAATTATTTGGCTTGAGTTCACAACACAATAAAGAAAACCAAAAAATATGGCACTGTTTCACAATTTTCAAAGGGCCAGCTCACTATTTTCTAGTATGCCAGCTCATCATTTGGTATTGCTGGCATACAGGCTCAAAAAAGTGGCTGGCATAGCTTATCATAGAAAATGTATGGACTTGCTTGCCTAACCTTTTGCAACCCTAGGGGGGGGGGGTCACAACAATCACATAAGAACTTCTATAGCTGTCCTTTACTGTCAGTCATTTTGTAATAATACTTCAGTATGTTACATTTCTTTGTTCTAATTAGATCACATATTACATTACATTTTGAAGACATAGTTAAAATTTCATTTTATCTTAGGAGACTTGTATTTTAGGTTTGGTGGTCCTTTAACCCCAAAAGTATATAGTGACATTTACTCTGCCTTTTGATCCTGTAATTGATTGTGGATATACTGAAATATATTGTACAAGTGGCACAAAAATATAGATATATTCATTGCTCTCAAGCACAATGATGTTGCTGAATTTGAAGAGCAGTAAAGAGACATGTGGCCTGGGTAATAGCCTTGTAGTTGTGGAACTCCACTGTGATCTCTAAAATACTTATATTTCTCATCAGAGGATACGTTGCTGCCTCGATAATACAACATGTTGCAAAACATGTTAGAATTTTTTGCTGTTCATAGCTAAAGGCTATACCAATATAAATCTCATTTATGATTGCATCTGATAGAAACAGAATCTGTCCTTTCGTTATTCTGGTGTAGCATAGCAGATGAAAGGAAGGATCTGATTGGTTGTGGATTATATTATTTGATGCATACTTTGCTGCAGGATCAGATTACAGAGCAAAAAGCAACCTTCCATCATAGTCAATCAATTAATAATGCTTATGCATATTATAGTCTAGTTCAGTCTTGACCCTGAATTCTGCTGTGCTTGTAATTAGTAGACAATATACTAATGTAATTGTAATGTCTTCCTTATATTGTAAAGCGCTGCGCAAACTGTTGGCGCTATATAAATCCTGTATAATAATAATAATAATAATGTAATGCTTTAACAGTAACCCTATAAAAACTAACCTATGGTAATTCACAATAATCTAGCAGGCATTTAGGTCCCTTTTACAGGGGCTCCGTCCATTCCAATTAGCTGGGGATCCATGCACAGGAACACAGGATGGAACAGATGTCACTCTTGTGACATCCATGTTCATTCCATTTTTTTCTCCCAAACAACTGAGCTGTATGGACCCATGTTAGGTCTATGGTCTGTTGGATGTAAGCAGACAGCAGATCAGCTTTGGTCTGTCACGATCAGGCCCGCCTTTTTCATTTTACAGACCTAGACAGATTTGGGGATAATCAGATGTAAATGGGCACACATCCATTTAGATCCGGCTCCCGTAGACTAACATTGGGCTTCCGATCAGATCGGCCTGAAAAACCGACAGGCAGACATAATCAAACCGTCCGTGTATAAGGGACCTTAGCTTTCGTAGTCATCTATAGTTTCAGAAAGTACGAATCTGGTCAATAAAGTAAATTTATTGCCAATTTATACTACATGTGATATGTAAAGTGCTCACAGTGCAGAAATGTGTCATTGGTTGTTTGGTATACATTAGCTCACCAAGGCATTTCACATTTCCAATATTAGCGAGAAACCAACAGAAAATAGATGAGCCTCCTTGTTAAACTTACAAATTCCACACAATTTTAGCATCGCATTGTTTTAGTACACTATACCACATTAATAATAAATAAATAATAGTGTTATCATGTGGTCTTAATTAGTATTGTTTAGTTACAGATACAGAGGAATCTTTCCATCTGATATTCATTGTGATTTCAATGAGGGTGTGTGCATCTCTTCATTGTATTTACAGAAAGGAATAAACAACCAGAATTTGTGGTTAAAACATTTAGCTAATTGTAACTCCCACAGTGAATGCAAGCAATGTGTGTTCAGCTCTGGTCCTCAAGGAGCACCAGCAGTGCATGTTTATAGGTGCATGGGTTATGATGTATGCACCGGCGACCCTAGCTGGTAGTGTGGACAGCCTGCGATATTGGCCAACATTGAATAGCAGAATTGAACACCACTGATCTGTGACCTATATTTTTTAGCTGGAGCGTAGTGCTGAAATCTGTACTATGCCAATATGTGCCAGAAGGCAAACACCAGAGACAACTCAGGGACATCATACTGCGCTGCTGTGACTAATCACACAGCCTGCCTTTATAGTAACTCTTTTAGAAGTCATGTCAGGTATTTTGGACTATATAGTGGGCCTTGTGTGTTCTATATAAGAATGCATCATTTTTACAGAGTCAAACTTATTGCACCCCCCACACCCTAGCAATTAAAGTGACACTAAACTCAGGAGTTAAATCTTAAAAATGCATTCAAGTACCCTATTAACAAAAATGTATCTTATTTGTGTATCACTCGGCTGTAGATCCTCAAATCATCTCTGACTTTGTTCTGACAATGTCCTTCCTTCTGAAGGCTGGCTACTTTTGTTCCCCATGGTCCCTGTGTGTGTTGTAAAGTAGTCATCGCTTCAAGCTAACTCCCATGATAGACTACAATCTCAATAGAAATAAGATTGTAGTCTATCATGGGACCGAGCTTGGAGCGGTGGCTACTTTACAACACACACAGAGGCCATGGGGAACAAAAGTAGCCCCCTGCAGAAGGAATGACAGTGCCAGCACCAATTCAGAGATGATTTGCGGATCTAAAGCCGAGTGATATACAAATAAGATAGATTTTTGTTAATAGTTAAGGTATTTGAATGTATTTTTAAGATTTAACTCCTGTGTCACTTTGATGTCTAAAGGATATGAAACGGATCAAATTAACAAACATGTTAATTACAAGTCTTCAGATGGGTTGTAGAAGAAAAAATTGTCATTGGTAGTTGAACAGTACTGGCATACTTTGTGATTTATACAAGTTTTAATTACAAAAGCTCTCAGAAAGCAACAGTGCTCTCTGCTGGTACACAAAATTAAGGTCGGAAGCATGCAGCAGTTTCTTTTTCTTTGCGTGTAAATGCTAATAAGCATCAGTTTTGAGCAGCTTTTGTGGAATATAAATATGTTTATTGCAGAATTATCAGTGTTTGATTCTTGGAATCTACTAAAAGCTGTTAAGCCAACACCTCCAGTGAAGATCTGTAAACTGCACTCTGAGAATGGACTTGAAAAGTGTTTTTAAGGACTATAGCTATTTAAAACTTGTTAAAAACCTTTCCAAATGCTTACTGAACCTGACTATTATTTACCAACTAAGATTAAACAATGCTTTGTGTTTAGGCCTTGCTTTTCTAAACCAGCAGGTAACACTATTACCTTAAATGTTACATATGGGATTCATAATCAAGGTTGCATATACATCATTATATATACTGTTCACATTACACTGGAAATGAATTTGTCTAATATATTTCATCTAGTGTCATGTAATCAAAATGCTTGTGGTTTTTGACAAAAACAAAACAAAACCGTTTCATACATTCAAAAGTTACCTAATGCATATCATATGGAACAAAATGTTATAGATAACATTCTTAATTACCTAAAAGCATTTTAATATATATTGGAAAAGATGTTTATGTTCTGCATCCCGAGCCCTGTCTCCATCTGTGCTTGAGAGGAGCCAACATGTGCAATCAGATTTAATAAGCAAATGCTGGAACAGCTACAAACCCCAGTGGACTCTACACAGCAGTGGTGACAAAACACTTCCTTATGTTTTACATCAAAGAACATATTAATTTCTTTCATCGATAGGAATGCAATCATTACCTACTATTTCAATGGTATGCTGTTTTACAGTGAATAAGATTGTGGTGCTGTTTTCACATAGACAGTTATGTAATCAAAATGGAGCTTTAAAGATCATTGGTAAATAATAGCCCAGCATTTTCGCAATGCCATGTCTCTAGTAGCAAAAAGAAGTGTTCCAGGCTTCTGAGAAATGGTTTGTTTACTTTTTGGAGAATGTTAGTGGATTGACTGGTAACTTCTTGTGCCTCATTGCAGAAGAGCATCCACTACAGAGTGCTTTTACAGGCAGCATCTGGCCAGTGACTGGATCTCTGCTAGATCCATAGAAGAGGATAGTTGTTCATGGACTGAAAGCTGCAGTTAGCAGCTGGCCCATTGTAAATCCTCAGCCTCCAGCTGTGGAGTGTCAGCCAATTGGTTTGGCCAACTGGAACTATAATTGGTATGTTCATACACATAAGAAACACACTTATGACTTCATAGGGGGCGATTTTGTGCTTTCCAGTGTGCATTATTGGTGTGGACTTTATTAGGCATCAGACTTTGTCTTTGAAGGAGCTTTGTGCATGTGAGCTAAAAGTATTATATCAGACTAATCATTTTACTCATGACCTTTGAATAGCTCAGAACTAGAGCATTTGCATCGACTGGTTTGTGTACACAGATAAACCCTACTGGCTTCCTACTTGGAATAGGTGCCTTCAGTTAAGAAAATAATGGAGGCTTGTGTGCAAGGGAGCTCGTGAAGCATTAGAGCTCTGTTTAATTCATTCAGTTGCCCTGACTACACAGATTTATGGTTCTGCACCAAGTACAAGATGATTACATGTGTCCTATCAACATGCTTTGGCTGTGACACCTTTATGTCCTTAGTAGCTTCATCAGCAAACCTTTGCTTGTCCTGTATTACTGAAGTTGCATTCAGGTACCCCTAAGCCCTAATTACCTTATTTTAGGCATTTCTGCCTAAGTGCATTCACTGTGTGCCAGGCTAGTGGCTGTTTATGCAGTGGTTTGTTTACAAAGTCTTTTAAAAAGTCTATTTTCAGAGCTGTCTTGCACTTTTAATATATGACCAGGCTTTCCGTATGACATTCGGGCCAGTGGAGCATAAATTCATATGAATGTATGGATTTTATGCCATCATACATGAGATAAGACAGCTGGTTGGTTTCATGAATATAAATGGGGAAAAAAAACTTAAATGCTGACAAAAGAGCATCTTTGTGCAGAAACTCTTCACCATGTTTTAAAAAATATTAGATTAGGTAATTGTTACAGTATTGGGAATATTTTGATACTACTCTATATGAAGTACAGTGAGGCTAATTTTTTAAAGTAGAGCAAAAAAAAGTGTGTTTATTATCATATCAGGCAACTAGCATTGAGATGTAATTTCCCAGTGCTGATACAAAAATAAATGTAACAATTTGTCTGACTGTTATTAGGAACAGACCTTCATTCTTTGCTTAATTTTTTAATATAATATAAGAACCCCAGTGAAGTGGCCTTTTTATGAACACATGTCCAGGTTACTTGCTTCAGCTTTGGTAGCTAAGCTAATAAAACCTTATTTTCTTTCAGTTTTCAGTTTCTTCAAGTGAAGAGGAAAGGCTCCTGACTGGGAAGAGACCTAAAACCCCAGTTCCTTATGAGTTCTCAGACACACACACCAACTGGACCAAGTCACTCCCATTACCCACTCCAGAAGAGAAAATGCGCCAAGAGGCACAAGCAATACAGACTGATATGGTGCCCATAAATGTTACTGGTATGGTCATGATCTTCTCATTAACAGTGTTCCATCATATTCCTTCTTATCCTAATTCAGCTAGCTAGAAGGTGAATTTGCTTAAGGGCTGTTTAGTCAAATGTTGTGAAAAACAATATTCTCTGATTTGTAAATCACCATAAGTAAAAACACAATATTATCTGAGCATTCAGTTGAATAGGAACTACTCTACTAATGGGTTATATATATCAGGTAGCCGAATCAGGATGAGCCAATGGTAAGTGCAGCATTTCTTGTAGATATTTCAGTCAAGCAGAAGGAAACTGTAGCTGTGGAGTTTTCAGAAACAAATTAAAAATGCAAGCATAATTTTTTTTTTTTTTTAACGTTAAGCTACTGTATGTGAATGAGAACATGCAACTTATATAAAGTAGGTGTTATCTCAATTTGGCTGCAGAAAAGTGAGAACATACTTTAAGGATCTAACAAGTGTGCTTTATCCACTTGAAGACCAGGGTGTTAACCCCCCTTCCTGTCCAGGCCGTTTTTCTTCTCCGGCAACAGCAGCCTAATGTAATATACATCACTTCCGCATTCAGTGATTGGAGGGGAGATCAGCTGCTGGAAGTGTCCTGATCTCCCACCAATTCAGCCGCATAGACCTACCGTGCCGGTCCTGCCCAGGATAGCCAGTGCTGGGGGGTGAAGTTTGTACACTTCCCCGCACCATCGGGGGGGGGGGCTCTATAGGTGCCCGAACGCTTGTATATAACAGTAGTCACAAGTCGGGGGCGAGTGTGGGAAAGGATGTTTAACCACTTCCGGGCCACAATACGTCTATAGACGTCAGCCTGTTAAAGTGGTTAAAAAGAGAAAAACGGCTACTGCAGCAGCCGTGTTCTTGGAACCGCTTTTAAAAGCCAGCGACGGCTGTTAATGTACAAGTGATCCGGTGTCTGTACAGCCGCTGATCTCTCCTCCGATCACTGGACCTGGAAATAAAGTGTTTAAAAATTATAAAAATGAAAGTAACATAAAAGAAAACTTTAGAAATGCAAAAAAAATTTTTGTCCCCCGCCCCCCCCACGTGCACGCACATACACACGCAAACACGCGTCGGTACGCCTACGTGCGACAACGTCAATTGCACTACACATGTTACATATCACCACGGACGTCGGAGTGAGAGCAATAATTCTAGCGCTGTCAATCACTGTTAGCACTAAACTGATGAGCGGTAAAAGTGTTCCCTATGGTAAATTTTGTTTATTGACTTTTTTTGCGGCTTCACGGACGAACGCAATTTTAAGGCTTGACATGTTCGCTATCTATTTACCCACCGTGACCCCATCTTTCATATTTCACCAAAAAATTGGGTATTATATTATGTTTCTGTGTACTAAATTTTAATTTAGTGTATTTTTTTCCTAAAAATACTGGTTTGATAAACATTTGCGCAAGAACAGTGCAACGTAAAAAAATTGCAACTAGCATTTTTTTTATTCTACAGGGCCTCTGCTTTTAGAACATATATCATTGTTTGGGGGTGTGAAGCTGTTTTCTAGCCAAAAAAATATATATATATTTTATCATATGTGCGCAAATAGTAAGAAAATGCCCCGGACAGCAAGTGGTTAAAAACGGCCATGCACATCCAAGAAGCAGCCGTCTGGCTGTTTAATTGCAACAGCAAATGGTTAAAGAGACATTAGACCCACCATTTAATGTCTCCCAAAACAGTTACTTTTAAGGCATGCCAACTGCCAAGGTTGCCAGTGTGCTTGTTTTAGCTCTCAACCGAACTTTCAAACCCTCAAATAGCTGTTGTCATAACTAATCACATGTGCAGCACCATGGCAACTGCAATCCAAATAGAGACTAGGATGGCACCTTCCTTGGCTATAAAGGACAGGAGTTTATAGTTCCACTTTGAGGTTATAAAAGATCTTCACGTTCTAATCCTCTTTTAGCTGATGTCCTATGTTTGGCTCAGTTTGGGAATACATGATCAGTTTCCATTGAGCAAAACCATGCATGCAAAAATACAGTTGATGTCAACCTTACTTATACTCTAGGTGAGGTTTGTAAAACACAGATTTAATTAATTAAAATGATAGACATATAGAAGTCATTTTCCCTGAATCTTGTACTGGAGAGCACAGCCGCTGGGGAAATCAAGACACCAGATTTAGCTTTTACAGTTCCTCTCCCTTAAGGTGGCCATACACTGTACAACCCTGCCTGTCAAGCAGGCCACTAACTCGCCGAGAATGTACGATTCCCGGTGGGTTTTCCAGCCTGCTTGTTCGACGGAAGACGCGCGACCGTACAGTAAAAACGGTCGCAAGCCTTCCATACACTTTGCGATTATCGTGCGATCGCGGGATTTCCTGCGATTCTCGTACGATAATCGTACAGTGTATGGGCACCTTTATCCATTACTTAGGCTGGGCACACACCTTACAACCATCGCAAGACTTTTGTCTTGCGATGGTCGTAAGGTAATTAAAAAAACGTACGATCTGCCCATCTTGGACAGGCAGATCGTACTTGCGATGATTGCAAGCCCGCAATGCTGAACGGGCAGTGTGTGCTTGCGCACACTGGCCCGTGCGGCTTTTATCTTGCGAAACATGCCACAAACCAGCCGAACATCGTACGATGTACGGCTGGTTGTCGAACATGTTGCAAAGGTAAAAGTCGTGCGACCTTATAGTAGCAGAGGTCGAACGGCTCCCACACACCTTACGATGATCGCGGGATTTCCCACGATTATCGTAAGGTGTGTGGGCACCTTTACAGTGGGCCTAATGTGTCTGTACACATTACCTAAATTACTTCTGTACAACCACTTAAATTAAAGACACATTTAAACCTGTCTGTGTCTGATTGTCTGCATCTGCTGGGCACTCCCGTTTTTTTTTCTTTATTAACGCATAGTTCAACAGCGTTGAACCACAACACACATATGGACCAAACAAGCACACATGCCCCTCATGAGTAGTCATGAGAGGTAGTTTCTTGTTAACCCAGATTGCCCGAGTCTGCCAAAACTGTGACTGACGCCCCCCCAATCAGTTGTGGTAGGGGCATCCCCCACCCCACAGCTACACATCACAAAGGGACAGGGAATGCCACTGCTGCAGCTGATTTGGCCAGGAAAGGGTGTGTCCATTACAGTTTTGCTTGGTAGAAACTCCAGCACATCACTACTCAGAGGCAGGTAATAAACACTTCTTTTCTATGCTCCTTTGCCACCACCTAGTGGTCCTAATGCGATATTACAACCAGAATGTTCAATTACAGTTGTAAAGGAAGAAAAATGGGGAATGTTCGCTTGTGCATATATACGCACAGGACAAACATTCAGAGATATTCGCAGGGCAAACAGCCATGTGAGCTATTTATAAAGCAACCCCTGGGATTTCTGACAGCAACACCATAATAGTCCCAGGAACAATTATTCTAACAGCAAGTGACATCTGTGGCTTATCACAGACCGGCAATTGAAACTAGTCACATGTTGCACTTCAGTTACATTCAGGACACAGAATTTTGATATAGCCGAGAATAATTGATGGGTAATGTACAGCAACATGCAGCACTTTTTGTAAATATACCATAACATTAAGGTAAAACACACATCCTGCAAGCTTGAGTTTAAAGCTGGAGTAGATGCAGAACAATGCATTTGCACATGCAAAAACAAACAAAAAATTTAGTGCATTAGAAATCTGTAGAATTGCAGTGTGTTCACAGCTCACTGTGATTTCCATACAGATTCATATGACAGTTTGTTTCCTTTGGGCTTACATCATTAGTGTTAATCACCCACAGCACCTTTATGGATTCCAGTAAATGAAAACGTTAGTACAGCCAGAACCTGTATAAATAGGCCTGGTGCTTGTACCTAAACAAATAGGATAAAATAAAGTTAAAATAATCTTAATAGAAGTACTGTGACTGCCATTGTTGACCTATTTCTGCGAACACTAATTTTAGCTGCAGATGAGAAAGTGAGAGTGAAGTCAGGAATTCTGATCTGCATATAAACAGGTAAAGTATTGTATAGGATGATCAAGGCAGCAAGCATTTTCAGAAGGAAAGGTCAGCAATGGTAGGCCCCATATTCTCTCAGTTCAAAATTGTTTTGTAAAGCCCCAGCCTCAGAATAACATTTATAGGCCTAGCTTTAAACACAAGGATAACAAAAACAGGGAGGAACACAAGTGAACACAATAAAAAGAAGGAACACAAAGAAAACACAGCATTGGTTTTGCCTGAATTTTTACTACAGTGCCGCAGCATACATTGACTTATAACATGGAACTAATGAACAGGCAAATTAAACTAGAGATGTTACCCATATCAACCAGTTACTTCCATGTAAATTCAATTGTGCTTTAGAAAAAAGGCTTAGTACATCGATTTGGTTGCTATGGACAACACATCAACCTTTACTGAATATCTGCTGTAAACATAAAGAGAATAGGTTTTCAGAGTTTTAACAGATTCCTAACATTCATCATCAGAATGTGCTCACAATATAATTGTCGAAGTATGCTGAAATTTGTATGTTTATTGAGTATCAGTATATTTCGTTTTCTGGTAACAATAAATACTTACAAGGTCACTGTGAGCACTGTTAGCTATACGTGCAAATATTTCTTACTGAACAGAATAGAGGGGAATTGGACATTAAAGGGCTGTTTTGTAGAGCTGCATTCGGAATGCATGGTTATTCAGTTCCCTTTAAAAGACAATGCTATGAATGGGGCTTTGGGAGTGGTTTAAATAATGGGGGAGGGGGACAGCTGTGGAGCATGAGAAGCGAGGAGTTGTGTGCATGCTCATTCTGTAAGACCTAGGGCCAGCTGACACAAAGCCACAATGTAGCAATAATGTATTGCTCCTGCCCTCCTATGGCTGAGACACTACACTACCATATTGTTATATCAAATGAAAGGGTAGCCATGTGGAAAAGGTAAAAAAAGAAGAATCTGTTATAAATAAGAATGGCATTTTCAATCAAAGGTTCAGTAACATTAGCTGTGTCATCATAGGATATTGACAGATTTTAGATTATGTCTTTTTAAGTTGTGAATGCAGGCATAAATAGTGGTATGTGCTGAGCGTTCCATTTCAGTAATAGGGGTATGCCTAGGTAATATTGATATTGAACCTGATCTAATAACCTGTCTAATACCTGCTTTAGCTGAATCACAGCAACCAATCAAGTTCAAATCTGCACTGGAGAATGACAGCTGGAGGTTGATCCATTGCTTTGAATTGTCAGATAGAGCTCTCTCCTTTGACAATTTAACATACATCAGGACTCTAAAGGCTTATGTATAAAGTGTGCTATCATGAAAATAGCTTGTTGCCGATAGTGACTGCCGGCTGTTGTTTCTGCTGTACAGGGTTGAAAAAAAGGATTGGTTGCACACTTTTTATATACAAGCCCAGACTGCTTCTGGGTTACTGATAGAATGTTAATCATGTGTCAAAATTGAACTTGTTGGGTTTGATTTTCTGTGATACATAAATATATTTTACAAGGATAAGAGTATTTTAGTAATTCCTTAAATATGTTATTTCTACTTCTAAATCTACCACTAGAAGAACTGGTTGCTATTTTAGATACGCTTATATGACATTTGCTTACTTGATTGTTTCCATGACACCATACTAAAACCTGAAGAATGGTACTTCGCTCATGTGTGCTAAAATACATGTAGGTGCACAGGCATAAGATCACCTTGAGGAACTAAAAGTCTCAGCTAGACCTGCAATCTTCCATTCGTTGCGTATGCTGTGTATTGTATGTCCTGAGTAACTGAAGGGTGCCGCATAGCTGGTGCCTGCTCTGGGAAATTGTTACTAATGCTGCAAGTGCAAATTCATGACAGATGCTTTCTAAGGACTTGAACATACTGTGTGGGCACTGGAATCAAACAATATGTAAAGCATTTCTTCTTTCATGTAGGCCTAGCATACATTTTAGAACTGTACTGTAGGTGTTAGCAGATTGCGACTTCCTGGTGTTTTTGGTCATATGCATGCTGCGTTTCTGGTGCTTGATGTTACACATTGCATGTTCTGTTCCATACACTTCATGAAAGAGAAGTGATCAGGTCTATAGTTATTGAAGGGTGCTTATGAAAAATGCATGTGTGCTATGATGGATATATGGATTTCAATGTGCTGCATGCATTGTTGTATTGCAGCCCACGTCCCTGGACACAGCCTGACATTTCTGTTATTAAGTACTTGTTAAGCTTTCTTACAAACCTTAGTACATGCTGTCACAAAAAGGTTGTTGTTTACTGCAGGCATTACTATTTAATATTATCATCCAAACTCTGGAAAATGCTCTAGAAAACAAGGATCTGGTTGCTATGGACAAACTAATTCATTTTGAATGCACCTTAACACACTTAGGCAACTCCGCTCCAGCGCACATGCATTGCAGTACACTACAACACATTGACCATGCACTACCATGCCTTGTGGTGTGCTGCATTGAAAAATTGCGGCATGTAGGTTTTTCCCCCCAAAATAAATGGGCTGCCTTAACAGAAGGCACGTTAATGCATGACAAACCATGCGTTAACACAATGCACAAGAACAGCAAAGTGCGAATGGGCCCTGAAACTAAATAGAAAGTGTATATATACAGTATAGATTGTGCCATATAAGTAAAGAGTACTATTATTATACAGGATTTATGTAGCACCAACAGTTTGCACATTGCTTTACAATATAAAGGGAAACTACAGTTACAATATAATTTTTCACTAAGTACTATCACAGTTATAGATATCTAGGAAATTACTAGCAAATATGTGCCCAGTAATGCATTCTTGATTTATGTGCCCAGTAATAATTTTTAATTTATGCAAAATTTGTTTAATATTTTCTTAAAGAGACATAGTCACCTTGGCCGTGCAGGGCAAAGTGACAGTGCCTCTGGAAAGAGCACCCCCTGCCTATATACTTGCCTGTACTCTCTGTAGCCCCTTGCTCCTCTACAGCTAGACCATACCTGCCATTTCCGGGTATGAGGGAACATCTGACCAGCGCGGGCTGCTCAAGAGCAAGAAACAATAAGGGAGTGCAGGAAAGGGAAGTATGGTATCTGGGGGGTGCCCTTGCCAGAGACACTGTCACCTTGCCCTGACAGTGTCACTTAAAGAATTCGTTTATGACTGTATGGAATACGTTTTTCATAAGCTACACATATTCGGGTCAATCTACCTGAAACTGATATTTAAGTCTTTGGTAGATGCTGGAGAGTTAAACCATCTGACAATTTCCCTTATCTTTGGAGTGAGGCCTTGGGTCTGCATCCTGCTTTGGCCATTTTGATGGGGTCCCACTCCTCTTTGGATGACGTAAACACATTTTGGGGTTAATGGCAGTCTTGCTGATATTCGGCTGTTCCACCAATACACTTGCTTTGCAGTTTGGACACCTTATTGTGACAAAGTGTGCTGTCTTTAATGTATGCCTCTACTAGAACTAATACTAACATCATCATCCATTAATGCCGTCTCTGTTATTGTCCCAATAATTTTGAGGTAACCGATGCATGATGTTAGCGTGCTTGGAATTAATGTTGCCTTGCTTATTCTACTACTCTGTATCAGGGGAGAATTTCGACCGCCAGGCCAGCTTCAGGCGGTCTCTTATTCACACTGACACTGTGGTAAGACGTCCGAAGAAGGTCAAAAGGAGAAAGACTATAACTGGCGTCCCAGACAACATACAAAAGGAGCTAGGTATGGCTCATCAGAACTGTATTCCACCAGCAACTATCATCCTCATTGCTCACCACTACCAACCTAATTACATATACCGCCAACCATCAATCAATACAGTCTGATAGCCTTTAAAACAGTCTGGTTGTAAAAAAAAATCAGTTCTGGTCAAGGTAAAGGGGAAAGTTTACTAACTACTTGCACTGAAACAATCACAAAAAGTGTTGTACTTACATTTCCCTTCCTGTTGTACTGTTTGTGACCCACATTAATCTCTGAACTAATATTAACTATTCTAAATGCCGCTGAACTGTCTGGCAATGTGCTGCATCAGCTCTACTCTATGGCAAGGGAAAACGTGAGCGTAGTACATACTACTCCCATGAAAGCAGTGGTGTCTGTGTGGGTTTTACTTCACTATAACTTATCCTAAAACTGGCATGACTTGTAACTACTGTATGTGTTGAGCATGAGGTGGCAGTCGCTGTTTTGTGTCTACAGAAGTAGTTTGTAGCAATATTAGGCCTTAATTGTTTCTTATTAACTTTGCAATTTTTTAATCTTTATAGTATTGGATGGAACAGTCAAAATGAAAACAATACAAACCATGACAAATAGCTGCAAATACATTGCAGCCAAGGGCACTAAATATGTTAAATCTAAAGCTTCTCTTTGTTTCTTGACTGTCCAATCTTTTTACTTACATTATTTTGCATGATGTGCTGCCGCTAACATTTCAATCATTAACTGTTAAAACCAATATAAATTTTTTAATTGCGTTGGTTTTTAAATAATATTGCTTTATATAATTTTTGCCATATATTAGATTGATCACAAAGCAGCAGTGTTTGGTAATTTCTCTTATGCATCTCCTAACTGTTTTTATTCTGTTCCAACAGCAGGTGCTGGGCAAATAGGTTTCAGAGGACATTCAATGCACATACCGGAAAGCTATAATGCACTGGACAATCTCGAGCCATGCCTTTCACCTTCACTGCGGTCTGAAACCAGGGACTTCAGCTGCCAGACTGAAGAGGTAAAGATAGTACCTCCTTCTGTTCGAAGAATTCGAGCCCAGAAAGGACAAGGCATAGCAGCTCTAATGTCTGGCTCTTCTGGAAACATGTCCACTCTGAGCGACCCTGCTGGATGTTCTCTAAGACCCAATGGCGATCTGAATTTCCGCAGTTTACCAAGGACAGGGGCTCGGGTCTGCCTGCAGTCCCTTGAGCAAAGGACAGAAAGCTCCAACAGGATAGAAGACTCTTTTATTACATTGCCACGCCAGCTAAGCAAGTTGAAGGTGGATGAAAGTGTTGTTCACCTAAGAAATAACCACAGACCTGGAACACTCCCGAGGCCAAAATCTCAAGAAGTTCGGGGATCAGAAAGAGACACCTTTTCAAACCCAGCATGTGTGGTGTCTCCCCATGCAGCTTACTCCACAAGTGTCATCCCTAATGCCATGTTGTCCTCTTCTTCGGAGGTGATTGCCATTAACACTTCTCAGAGCAGTGGGCAATTGGACAGTAAACCATCATCTCATAGCTCATCTTCCAATAGTAAAAGTGTGTGTAGAGAGCTCAGTATCAGCAGTAAGGGTGATCACCGCTTCTGTAGTACTAACTGGAGTGAAAACAGTTCATTGAGGCATTCTCAGGCCTCAGATGCAATATCCCCTGGTGCCACAATGATCATTAACTTAGGTGATCATATAAAGCTTCCCAACAATACAAACAGCATGAACAATGGCCCACAAACAATACCATACAAAAGAAATGCAGCCTTTCATAGCCTCCCACATGACAGTGATACACACAGTGAATCAAGCTACTCAGATGGTCGACAAAGAAACGGAAGTATAACCAGCAGCATTAACAGTACAGACCAGTGGCCATGTGAAACTAGGGAAAATGACAGTAATGTTCCTTTAAGGAAACCATCATCCGCTGTCTCTGGCTCCCCTGTTAGTAATATGAGCACTTGTAGTTCAGACAGGAAAGCTGACACAAGTTCACTCTATTCTTTAGACCATGATGGCTACTACACTTCAATGCACATAGATTCTGGAGTTGGGTCAGGTAACCAGAGACAGCACAATGGCATTCAGAATCCCCGTCACAGCGTCTTCAATATCTTTGATAAGAAAGACACACTGAACCAGGATGATACATCAAGTTATAGTGACAAATCTCTTACACGCAGCATATCTCTGAAAAAGCCCAAAAAACCACCTCCCCCTCCTTCTAGGACAGACTCTCTCAGACGTCCACCTAAGAAAGACCTCCAATCTAATGGCCAGGTGCTTAATGAAAAGCTTATTGCCACTCTTCAGCAGTCATTACAGTTAAACTTGAAGAGTAAAAGTGGCAGCTCACCATCACAGAGTCCATGCAGTGACTATGAGGATCCTTGGGTGCTGCGCTCTCGCAGTCAGAGCACAGTAAGTGCAAGTAGTAGCGGACTGTCTGCCACAGCTGCCAACATGTACTCTATTTGTCCTATTACTCCCTCTCATAGTGAGACAAGCAGCATAAAATCTGAATACGCTGATCAATGGAGTTATTACATTGATGAGCAACCAAAATCTACATTGCACTCCCCTAAGAAATCAGAACATTCTTCTGAACAACAAATGCATAGTGGCCTATCCAAACCAATTAACTCCTCTCCTGAAAAGCCTTGCAGAGTCACGTCACCTTCTAGTGGGTATTCAAGCCAATCAAACACCCCAACGAACCTAACACCTGTCCCACTGCTCATGAGAAGTATGTCTCCAGGAACTGGAAAAAATAAAGTAAAGCCCAAAGTGCCTGAAAGAAGATCTTCTCTAATATCATCAGTCTCTATTTCTTCATCATCAACTTCTCTTTCATCAAACACATCAGACTCTGCACAGCAGGCTATCAAAAAAACTACAATGGTCTTGCCATCCTCTCCAACGCCCTCCCTTACACCAGACCCACCCCCTCCACCTATGATAAATGTGGTTGACAATGGTACTTTGCCACCATCTCCAAATTTACCACCTCCACCTCCAGAGGCAGCAGTGTTTCTATCACCCGGGGACAATCTTTGGCTATCACATTCAGAAAACATTGATAAATGTACACAAAAGCCCTATCCCCCACAAGCTCCTCCCCCTCCTCCTCTTCCCACTTTGCACTTCAAGACAGCTCCTCCTCTTAACACAGAAACACTAAAAATAAAAAATGAGCTCTTCCCTAAAAAAAAAGGGAATGCTAGGTTTGTTAATCCACTAAATATCCCCCCTAATAAACAAGAATTAGTAAGTCCAATTGCTCCTCTTATTACTGCTCAGGCACTGCAAATGGTGCAGTTAAAGTCTATTAAAAAAGCATCACAACCAGAAGCTGAAAATATAGCTGAGCAGGTGCCACAGCCAGAACTTCAGTATGTAACGTCACCCATATTTTCACGGCCATCTTCAGTGCCATCTGTCTCCTCAGATCTCAGTTACAGTAAAAGCATTAGAGAAAATAAAAATGTGAACTTGCATGTTGAGCAGCTACAATACTCAGATTCTTCGAACAAGTCAGCTAGATTTACTACTGTTGAAAATACAAACGACGGAGGCAGAGAAGAAGAATATCGGGATTCAGCACTCAATGGAGACAAATCTATGTTGTCCGAAATGTCATCGCCACAAAAGAAAGCAAGTACTTCCAAAAGTCCGCCAAATGCATCTCCAAACAAGAAGCCTCCTCCTGTTTCAAAGAAGCCCAAATTGTTCCTTATCGTTCCACCTCCGCAGCTTGATTTGGCAGCAGAAAAAATAGCTCAAGTCAATGAAAATGTGAGAAGCATGCCAAAAGCCTCTGAGAAGGATTCTGTAAGCGAACATTGTGAGGAGGTAAATGGTCGTACAGCAGGAGAAAACAGTTTAGAAGAGGCTGCAAGTTTGAACTGCCAAGCAGGAGAAGAGACCGTGTCATCTTGCAAAGTTGCAGAGGACATCACAGTTTTTACTTTGTCTCCTGCTCTGGAGAGCCCAAATCACCAGGAAGAGGAGGAGCAGCCTACAATGTCTGATGAGGCCAGCGTCCCAGATGGCAAGAATGGGAGCACAAACTGTGACCAAAATATATTCCAGGAAGATGACACTGGTAAGAGAAATTATTTTCCTATACTGTCCCACTTCCTTATAGAGGATCATTTTGTTAGTACCTTAAAAATGACACCTGCATGCCCATATAAATGTGTATGTTTAATTCCCATAGTGATTTAAAAAAAAAGTTAATTTATCATTTCTGAATGCATAAAAGGTTGTCTCTAATGGTCAAAGTGTTTCTCTACTTTGAAAGAATGGTATTAGTTCATAGATTGTGTACAAACGTTGAGCATTCATTTTGTTCCTTTTGTAGCTGATGTTTTTGAAACAAAAACTGCAAGTTCACCCCGTATACGGACCAATGACAGATTTGATGGCAGGGATGAAATGTTAACTCCAACCAGACCTAGGACTACTGAGGATCTGTTTGCAGTCATTCATAGGTAAGTCATGTCATTTTATATATTTTAGGGCCATCTTGTGCTTTTTTGTTGCTGTCTCTAACTCCGCAAATATATAATTATATATATTGATGCCATCTGTGTTTTTGCAGAGAAAAGCAGGACGTTTTTACAGGGTATTTAGTGTCATGTTTTTCAGTTCTGTGTTCTGTTATGTATGTTATGTTAACTTTATGCTGTTTTTTACTTTGTTTCCATTTCACATTTAAACTCTTAGTATGCCTATTAGTTCTTAGAAAATAAACTACTAAGCAATTCATATAAAACACTTTTTGTTGATAAAGTGAAGGATTTGTTTAACCACCTCAGGGCCGGCCGTTGTAAAAAAACGGCCGGCCGAAAGGTCTCTAGATCTGAGCGGGCGTCTTTAGACGTCCGCTCAGCCACGCCCACTTGCTCGTGCCGCAGGGCGCGCAAGAGCAGGAAACACCAGCGATTTAAAAACGGGCACCGATGCCTGTTAACATACAAGCGATCCGCCGGCTATAGAGTCGGCGGATCGCTTGTATGAGCTGCCAGCCCGTGTCCCCTCCCTACGCTGCCCTCCCCTCCAGTTGTCACGCTGTGCCCGGTGCGAGCCCGGGACCAGCATATGGCCTCTGTCACGGGATCAGAGGGAGCTCTGTACACGAGCTCCCTCCGGTCCCCTCTCCGATGCCAGATTGCGGAAGCGATGTATGTTACATCACTTCCGCATTCTTGTGTCACTCTCCAGCTTCAGACCCTGGAGAGACGCTGATGAAGCAGATCTCTGCTTCACCAGCTTCTTTAGGGGGGTCCTAGGTGACATTAGGGGTCTTGGAGACCCCTGATGTCTCCGTAAAGAGGACCTGCCACATTTTTTGCTATCACATAGAGGGGTTTCTTAGCCCCCTATGTGATAGCAATAAAGTTAAGTGAAAAAAAACAAAACAAATAGGAAAAAAATTAAAGTTTCCAAAATAAAAAAGAATTAAATTTTTTTTTTTAAAAGCCCCCACCCATACATACACACACGCATGCAAACATGCGTCAGGTGCGCATACCTGCGAAAACGATGATTGCGCCCATTACGCCGCACATATTGCCGCGAACGCTGCAATGTGAGCGATAATTTTAGGGCCATCAATCACTGATAACACAAAACTGATGAGCGGTAAAAGCTTTTAAAGCGTCGCCTATGGTCAATTTTGGGTATTGTAGTTTTTTGTGATTTTCGCAGGGTGCGCGCAATTTTTAAGCCTGACATGTTTGGTGTCTATTTACCCGACGTGACCCCGTCTTTTATATTTTATCAAAAAATTGGGTAATAATAAGTGTTTCCTAACATAATGTAAAAAACACTTTTTTTCTCTCATTTTTCTGTAAATTTTTATTGTAAATATAGTAAAAAATAAAACCCCCAGTGGTGATTAAATACCACCAAAAGAAAGCTCTATCTGTCCCCAAAAAATGGTATAAAATACATTCCAGTACAGGGTTGCATGACGGAATAAATGTCAGTCAAAGAACCGCAACGCTGAATACAGAAAAATGGCCTGGCCAGGAAGGGGTATAAACAATGCGGACTTCAAGTGGTCAAGAGCTTTTCAATTTCAATAAACATTTAACCCCCCTTAATTTGTAATTTCAGCATATGAGTGGGCAAATACATAATTTACCAGTGTGCAAGCACCATTTACATTTAGCCAGGACCTCTGTCAAGAACCTTTGCACCTCTTGTCTACTCTTGTGCAATATGAAGAACTTTTCAGTCTGTCTGATGGTTTCTTCTTAAATGTGACAAAATAATTGTTACTGCAAAAAAGCCCTCATATGCCTCCATTGTTAGTTGATGTGTTTGGAATTATCTTATAATAAGATTGAAATGTGTGTGCGTGCCTTAACCAGTGTTCAAACCCTCCAGACATAAATGAACCACTTTAGTCTGCAGCTGTTGAGAGAAAGGGCACTAGACTACATAGTAGCAGGGGCAATGCAAATGAATGCTAACAGTAGGATTCCCTTATGGGGACAGAAGTATAATATTATCAGGAAGGCAGTAAACAGAGAAAAATACAGTTAACTAAGAGACCCTCAATTTATATGACGGGTTTGTATAGTATCATTATATCCTGGCTATGAGTGAACCTAATCTCACTACTTCTTACTCTGTTTAGTAAATAATACACGGATATTAATATGTATGAGTATATACTATACCAATAAACTAATAAAAGTCATCATAAAGTACTGACCTATCACAAAGAATGACATAGCTTTCAAATTTCATTCAGAATAACATGTAGAGGTTGATTTGTGAAAGATGGAGTAAAGGTGGAACTTAAGCCCCTAGCAATCAATTAAGGGTCAGATCATAAAAGCCGATGCCAGAAGCTGCAAGTGAACTTTTGCGCCAGCTTTTATAGCCATGTAATATTTTTCTAGAACACATGAAGTTACACTGAAGCCTGTTATTTAAAAAAACTAATTGGCAGTAAATATTAGAGGACAGTCATTTGTACACCACCAGTGGGTAGTCATCTGGCTTGTCTGTTGTGTCTCTTTAATTTTAATTGTGGTATCTGGCCATTCTTCTAGCAGTATCAAATACACACAGTAACACTTTTTATGTTAATTTTTATTTTTACATATTATAAATTGCAACTGTTACATGCATGATGAGCCTGTATACCAAAATAATGCCTAATCTGTAGCTAATGTTTATTATACATGTCTCTCTTTTATTTTTCTTTTCTTTTTTTTTTGTCTATTGATACTCCCTTCTTTCAATTGCCACTGTCAATACCCCCCTCTACTCTCTGCTGGTTCTATAAACACAGTTTTGGACAGAGTGTCAACGCCAATGCCTCTTGGCAAGCATGGCTGAATCTGGCAAGTAAAAATATGCACAGGACCCATACTTCTTGGTGTCGGATTATTGTATGTCTAATTCATTCCAACGTCATCCAGAATTCCCTCTGTTATGACTTTGTGGACCTAGTTGTATTCCCCAGACAGCTCTGTGCTTGGGAACATTTTCACTCATTAATCATTACGCATTTGCTGTAGTAGAAAGATTTCAGGTTTTTACACATTTTCCTTACCATACAGATGAATTGTATTTGCAAAGTACTGTATACTCCCTCAATAAGGTTTCATGTTAACTGTGCAGTTCTATTTAGAGGCAAACAAATGGTGTGAAGGCATGTTGTTGTCCTGTTATTGTATGCAGGGGAGCTGCCTTTGTTTAGCACATTTATTTCAAATCTTGGCGCTCAGATATACACGATAGCACTCCCTAACATTTAGTACAGCTCTGTCCTTGTAATGCTAATGCACCCCCCTCCTTTCAGCCGTTCTAAATTAGTCGGTATAACCCCGCCCCCTCTAAGCCCTTCTTAAAAAATCAGCAGGAACCCCCCCTCCCACCAGTCATCCTAAAATAATCAGCACTAACCCCCACCCCAGCTACTTACCTCTGTATTACTGTAGTTTCTTCCCCTGATGTTTACATTCACTCTGCAGCAATTATCTTCAGCGCTGTCTGGGGATGTACGCTGAGGATCTTCTATTTCAATATATAGATCCATTCTGCCAAAGCTAGAGAGATTTTCTGCTGAGAGCATGTAAACCCTGGAGCAGGCTACTACTGCGATATACAATTAAGAACGCAGCTTGGGAGGGGGGAAGGGGTTAGTGCAAATAGCTTGCAAGGGGTGGAATAGCATATGCTTATATATAAAGGCACCTTTTATATCACGTAAATATTCTAAAATAGCATCAATACAAACCCCAACAGTATTGTTGGGGAACAAATCTAGAACATTAAAATGTCTCAGAGAAATAAATGTGCCCCTAAACAATTGTCTAAACCATAATCTTATTTATCCAAGGTGCCATAAAAATATATTCTGAGATGAAATTACTTTAAGAGTGTTATTTCAATTCACAATAGTGGCAGGGGTGCTAAGATTAACCTCTCAAAATGTATTTTTTTTTAAATCCAGTTAATGTTGGTTTTATCAAAATTTATTATAACAATGTTTTAAAGTTTTATCTATGAATAAAATAATTTTAATAGCAAATATAAAAACAATAGTTGATTGAGAAGTGTGCTTTTCTAAATGCCTAAAACCTTAGTAGAAAAATAAAATAAGAAATGAGGAGTGAATACCCTTTATTTGGGACAGACATTCCGCTTAATATTAGCATAGTTTTTGTGCATATACGTTGTATATGTATGTGTATGTATGTATGTATAATATATATATATATAT